AAAAGACCCCTCAAAACCGATGGAATTTCATAAATGGACTGCTAACCAAACCAAAGATCCTGGTAAAAATTCCTCCCCAGTTAAACCTCCACCAGCATTTCAAGCTGACATCACAACCCATCACTGTTGGTCTCCTCAAGCCCCAAGTCCTGATTCTTCCTTCAAAGTGTAGGTCCTGTTTTGCACTTTTTTTTTTTGGGGGCTGGCAGGGATTCAAACTTTATTATTTTTTTTAAAGATGACCGGTAAGGGGATCTTAACCCTTGACTTGGTGTTGTCATGTAAAAATTCCTCCCCAGTTAAACCTCCACCAGCATTTCAAGCTGACATCACAACCCATCACTGTTGGCCTCCTCAAGCCCCAAGTCCTGATTCTTCCTTCAAAGTGTAGGTCCTGTTTTGCACTTTTTTTTTGGTGGCTGGCAGGGATTCAAACTTTATTATTTTTTTTAAAGATGACCGGTAAGGGGATCTTAACCCTTGACTTGGTGTTGTCAGCACCACGTTCTCCCTGGTGAGCCACAGGCCAGCCCCAGGGATTCGAACTTTTGACATAGGTCTTGGAGAGCTTTTGCTTTTAATAGAGTATTTTCATCACGATTAAAATCAGGTCCAGGGTGTAGCCTTCCTGATGAACCACCACTGAATACAGCGGGAAACGTCTTGGTGAGCCACGGGCCAGCCCCAGGGATTCGAACTTTTGACATAGGTCTTGGAGAGCTTTTGCTTTTAATAGAGTATTTTCATCACGATTAAAATCAGGTCCAGGGTGTAGCCTTCCTGATGAACCACCACTGAATACAGCGGGAAACGTCTTCACACCGTCCTCATCTGCACCTGTGGCTTCACCGAACGTTTCACATCGTGGAAAGCTCAGAAGTTCTTGGAGCCACTAAACCAGCCACGGCTTACATAGAAGGGGGCAGCTGGAAGCTATTCAGGACAGCTGGTGATGGAGGGAAAAAGGCGGTCCTGTGCTCCTGTAGATTGTCAGTTTTTGCCAAGTCTTCACATATTAAGAAGGCTGTTTGTGTGAACTTGCCCCAGATTTGCTTCAAAGCTTTAATGTTCTGGGGAGACCCTTTGTAAAGCTACACAACTACGCCAGTTGTCTGATGAGCTCCTGCCTTTGTTTTTCAAGACACATCACTGCTGGGCACTGGCCAAACTGCAGAGGTGAATAGATGTGTCGTAGGAAGCTCTGTTCCTGTCCCCCTTAAGCCTTGATGATGGCACCAATCTCTGTAGCTCTTCCAAGAAGTTGGTGTTGATTTTGATTTAAATATATTGGTAGAGATGTAAAACCCAATGGCCTTCACTGACCATTCACTGGAATGTTCTCTGGAATAGCCTCCATATCCATGTGTCTGGGTAAACAATCTGCAGCTTCCAAGAATACACCCATTCCAGTTACATACTCAGGAACCCAAAAAAGATGATCAGGTAAAGTGAAGGACCCACTCGACCTATTGGAAGGTAAAGTCAAATCACGCATTCGTTTATTACTCATCCCCCTCTAACCAGCCACGCACAGCGGCACTCTGAGTCTTTAGCGGTGCCAGGAATTAGTGTAGATTTGGCCAGTATCCAACAGACCTGGGTATGTTGTGTTTCCTTTAGCCAGTGCACTGTTACCCGAGGGGATACTCCAGGTCCAGGCAGAACAGATAGGAGGAATGTTCCCAGGTTGCACTTATAGTGTCTGCCAGGGCCTTTCTCACACTCCTGGACTCCACTTCCTTTAAGGGCTCTGGGTCTGTCCTATGACTCAGGTCTGAGAATTAGGTGATAAGCAGGGACCATCCAGCATGATGACCTATGTCTGGTCTTTCAACAGACTTGGGGTTTCACAAAGTGGACTGTCATCAGCTGTGTTGCCGGGGTCTCTGCATGTCCACCTGTCCTGGGCCCTGACCTCATGCCCTCTCTGCTGCCTCCCACGATGCCCACACTCATATTCCTTCCGGCCAAGATCGGCCTCCCCTGGGGTTGGCCTTTTAGAATTTCTTCCACCCTAAAGAGATCAGGGTCCCAGTTCCTCCCCCAGTCTAGAGGGTTCTTAGTAATGAATTTAGTCCCCCATCAAAGGAGAGCGAGGTCTCCTGGGCCCTGGCAGGAAACACAGTGTGGGTGGGAGTCCGTGAGAAATCAAATGTGACATTACAGTTTCCTACACACTTTGATTCCTTCTTCTTCATGCCATGTACTTTCTGGTTTTTTGGTGTCACAAGGAGGTGGCCAGCAGCATTCAGTCAAGGGTTGCATACCCAACCCTGGGAACAGTCAGAATCACGGCCTGAGGCTGGAGCAAATGGTGTCAGCTGAGGACAATCATGATAATGAATGCAAAATTATGTACCATCTTCTTTTAGTTTTCCTTTATCTAGAAATATTATTTTGCTTTCATTTGTGAAAGATATTTTTTCTGTATATAGAATTTTGGTTCAGCAGGTTTTTTTCTCAGCCCTGTGGACTCCACCCCCACAAATTGTCTCCAGATATATGGAGCTTTAATAGTGACTATGTTCTCTTGCTTCAGTGTCTAACTCCTTTCTATTCTGCATTGCATACTCGGGGCCACACAGACTTTGAATTTTGGCTGTCTAGCAACCAAGAGCAGTACTGCTGCCTTTCGTAAAGGCCACACATCAGAAGAGCCCTTAGATATGGTTTTGAATTGGAATTCTTCAAATCCCCTCAGATATCCCTTCTGCACTTTTCTAGATGCAACTTGTGGTGGGCTGAATAATGCCCACATCCCCCAAGATGTCCTAATCCCTTGAATTTGTGATTATGTTACTTTACATAATAAAAGGGAATTAGCAGATGTGATCCAGTTAAGAATACAGAGACAGGGAGATTATCTGAGATTATTTAGGTGGGCCCAATGTAATCCAAAGGGTCCTTAAAAGAGGGAGACAGTAGGGTAGGAGGGAAGAAAATGAGGTTTGATGACAGAAGCAGAAAGAGATACTGGAAGATGCTGTGCTGCTGGCTTTGAAGATGGAGGAAGGGGCCAAGAGCCACCAAAGGCAGTTGGCTCCTAAAAGCCAGAAAAGGCAAGGGAATGGATTTTCCCAGAGCCTCCAGAAAGAGTGAAGCCCTTTCAACACCTTGATTTTAGGATTTCTGCCCTCCAGAACTGTTAAGAGAATAAATGTGTATTGGTTTAAGCCACTCCATTTGTGGTATTTATTACATCAGCAATAGGAAACTAATGCACCACTCTTTTCCCATCAGTGCCCTAATTTGCACTTGAAAGACCTAGTGAGGCCTGGCTGATTAGCTCAGGTGGTTAGAGCATAGCCTTATAACACTCAGGTCCTTGGGTTCAGATCCTCGCAATGGTTAACCACCAAAAAAATAAATAAATAAATAAAAATTAAAAAAAGAGGCTAGTTAGGATCAAATTCATCATATGAATCAGAAACCTACACAACCAATCTTTGAATTTGCTTTTTATAGGAGAGTCTTTCAGCTGAAAACAACAACAGCCAGAATTTATTTCATGCCTTCAGGAAAAATTTCAAGATTTCAAGTGAGGTGTTTGTCCGAAGCAACCGTCTGGCTCCTACAGCAGGTGCTACCCAGAATGCTGGTGGGGGGAGTCACCTCTGCTCTGTCCACCCCTAAAACCAGTTCCATATACACTGGTGCTCCTGAGGGTCTGTGGTCTGCAGCCAATTCTTTGGTACCAATTTCTATGTCCAGCAGAACACCAATAAAGCAAAACAAAGAAGAAAGCAAGTGCAAACAAAAACAAATTAAAAAAATTTTAGGGGCCGGCCCGGTGGCACACTGGATAGTGCGCCGCTTGGGAAGTGTGGCAGCGCTCCCGCCCGAGGGTTCAGATCCCACATACAGACCGGTTCCCGTTCACTGGCTGAGCGAGGCGCGGGAGCAACACCGAGGGTTGCGATCCCATTGCCGGTCCCCGGTCTGGTGCGGGGGCAACACTGAATGTTGCGATCCGTTGCCGGACACGGAAAAAGACAAAAAGACAAAAAAAAAAAAAAAAAAAAAATTTTAAATCCTCTGGCTAACTCAAGAATAGAGGCATTTATTGGAATGATCCAGAGAGAAAGCTCACAGAATTAAAGAAATGCATACACACACGCACACACAGGCACAATTTTAAAAACAGCCTTCAGGACCTCAGCAGAGTTGCTTTGCTTCCCTCCAGACCTCAGCTCCAGGGCCTTCTGCCTCCGAGGGTTTTGGTTCAGGTTTTCAAATTTCCTGGAGAGAGATTTTGATTGGCCCAATGGGACCTTAGAGCCATCATCCATGGCTAGGGGACAGTAGCACCAGGGGGACTGGGCCTGAGCAGCCAGGCACCCTCGAGGGGGTCTTTTCAGGAGCTTGCTGCTCATGCCCCGTGGGGGGCCGTGGAGAGGAACAGAAGCTTCTGCCCTCTGATCTCCTTCCTTACTAGTATCTCCTTGAGGGAGGGAGCTGCAAACCGGCTCTGAAGCCATGGTGGCTGTGTTCTACTAGCGGGCAGGGGGCTGAGCCTTAGAAGCCATTTCTCACTCCCTACCTCTACGCGGATTAAGAAGCAGATCAAGGCCTTCCCCTTCCCGGGACTCCTCAATTCTCTCCTCCTTCTTTCCTTCTCTGACCCACCTGGTTTCCCTTCTTCCCAGTTCCTCTTCCACTCCCATTCACCTGCCCTCTGCATCTGTTCTCCACCAGCATCCGGCAGCAGGGGAGGCTGGCTGGGCATCCTTGTACATGGCTGCGTGGATAAATGGTTGTCATATAGCTCCATGGGGCCAGCCATTCAGGTCCTGTGGGGGGGAAAGGAGAAGCCTCATCCAGCTGGACCCAGGCCTGGTTTTCACTCCAGGACTAGTTACCAGAGAATTTCTACACTGGGGTTGAGAGAGAATTCATCAGACGTTTTCCTAGCATTAGTGAGCTTGCCTTTCTTTCTTCCCATGTGCTGACTGTTCTTGTGTGCTTGGTGACCACAGCAGGAAATCCAGGAAGGGAAGGGGGTGCCTGGCAGAACTCAAGGAACAAAGCTGTGCCCAGCACCCCCCACATATTGGAGCACATCTTAGGCAGAGAAGATGCACACCATGGACTAGGATTTGGGGACCAAGGGATGATGTGGGGATTCCAGGGTTCATAGTGAGGCTGTGGTAGCTGGGACTGGGGCCAAAGCAGATATTTGATTATGGTGAAAAGAGACTATTCTATTCTGTCCACTTCTATTTAAAGCGCTACTCAAAACAGGCATACCGTATTGTTATTCAGGCTTCCTAATCTTTGGCAAGTGGGACAGTTATCGACTTTCACAGCCTGGTTTCCTGTTTTTTGTTTTTCCTCGCTACCCTTTATCCATCCTGTGGATACAGACCCAAACTGTGACTTAAGAAGCCCCGCTAGGGCCAGCCCGGTGGCGCACTGCTACAGTGCGCCACTTGGGAGCGTGGCGGCGCTCCTGCCAAGGGTTCAGATCCCACATACAGACCGGTTCCCGCTCACTGGCTGAGCGAGGTGTGGGCGCAGCACCAAGGGTTGCGATCCCGTTGCCGGTCCCAGTCCGGTGCGGGCGCGACACTGAGGGTTGCGATCCGTTGCCGGACACGAAAAAAGACAAAAAAAAAGAAGCCCCGCTGGGTTCCACGAGAGGTAGGGAACACTCAGATGTGTGATCTGAAGCCTTCAGGTGGTTAGCAATAGGTATCACTAGGCAGCAGTAGATCAGCCACCCCAAATTCTGTTCTTTGTCTCCTCTTTGAATGTCATCCTCCATCAAGGAAAGAACTGGACCAGGGCTAGCCTCTCAGATTGATGACCATGGGATGCTGAAGCCACCCTTCCCCCACTACATGGTGCCAACATGGCTCTGTAAAATTCATTATGTTGACCTCAGGGCTGGGGGGATGCACCAGCGAACAGACGAGGAGATGGGGGCCCTTATCATGCAAGCACTGTGCTGTCCCCATCATCCTTGAGGTAGCAAAAAATCTCAGTGGGACTTTAAGAAACCCAGCAGCTAAGGAGAACTTAAAAAGCCCGTATCCAGGAATCTGGTTGCTAAGAGAATCAGGGAGGAATGAGATTAGTTAAAAGACAGATGGGAAAGTCTAATACTGGCACATAGAAGGGTGACCTGGTGATTGAGCTGGAGGAACGGGGGGATTTCCTGAGAAGAAAGATTGATGTGTGCAAGCCAACCAGGTCAGACATAACGGGCAAGAACCCAGCCGTCCCCCTCCAACTGCTCTTGAACTGGGATCAGGAAGGACAGGAGTGTGGAACTGCTGCTTGATTTGGCAGGGGGTAGGAGCCAGAGAGGATGAAGGGGTACATGTAAGCCCCACTCAGGGGCTAGGATAGAGAAAATGATCAGAGGCACTTTCTGGAGGCTACAGATAGGAATTGATGAGACCCACAGGGAGCAGCTGAGACCTGAGCTGATTTGAGTTGGGAGATCAGAATAGAGGACTTCAGAGGTTAATTCATGAGTTTCGTGGTACACAGATGTAGATGGGGAAGCAGGAACAGCCTGTACTTTGAGAAGCATATTCAGGGGGATGCTGGCACAGGAAAGGAAAAAGGTCCAGAGAAGATGGGACACACTTAAGAAGACCAGGCAGGGGAACGATGGGGGGAGTTCAGGCCAAAGTCAAATCTTCACCTGATGGGAGAAGACTTCCCTATGGAGTCACCCCATTCCAGGAAGTAAGTGGGGGCTGGATTTGTTTCCACAATGGGAGCCTCTGGCAGATCCAGAACTTCTTGACTTGCTGTGTCTCAGTATGATAGACCTCCCAAGATGGAGTCCAGAGGCATATATTAGGGAAACCAGTGCCGACATCCCGAAGTAAAAACAAAGGACAAGGAAGGAAAGTACTCTAATCCAGAAAACACTGTTAACCCTATCCAAGCCTGAGAAGGAGCAGGACCCTGCAGCAGTGAGATCAGCCTCTGATAGACAGAGGCTGCAGGAAGGAATGTTCCAGCTGCCACTGAAGCTGCACAAGTTTCCCAAGGACCGAAAGCTCAAAGGCCTAGGGAAACGTGGCTTTGGGAAGGCACGGCGATGGGGTGGGTGGCTCTTCTAACCTGAGTTACACCTGTCATCCAGCTTGCTACACCTCGAGTTTGAATTCAACAAGTCTGTTGCTCGAGCCTTTTCTGGCTTGTCTTCAGGTTCATCCAGCCGTCCAGAGCCTCAGCTCTTACGAATATTTAAATGATGTCTAATGGGGATCTGCATCTCTCCCATCATCATGTCTGACACCAAGGTCACAAAGCTAAAGTCTAGCAAATGACAGAAAGAACTAGGAGAAAGTTGCCCCAAAATGAAGTTGAGGGGTGAGCATGAGTGAATGTTGGCAGAAGAACACAGAATGGAGGTGGAGAAGTGGATCTGAAAGGAAGCCCACCTCATTCATTCATTCACTCATTCATTCTTTCATTAAACACTCATTGACACCCCACCCCACTGTGTGCCTAACGCTTGCTAGGTCCTGGGGACATAAAGATGAGTTAGAAAGGGTCCTGTTTGGTCTGGAGTTCGGAGTCAAGATAGGGCACTCAGGTGGGCACACACAAATGACAGTGCAGTGGGATACAGGCTTCTAGCCACAGCTTCTCCATGTTCACCCTCTCCCTGTCCCTGCCTCACCCCTTCTGCTCCAGTGCCGTATTTTCAACATGTCCCCCAAATGTCATGTGTTGGAAACTTAATCCTCAAATTCATATGTTGATGGTATTTGGAGGTGGGCCTTTGGGAGGTAATTAGGATCAGATAAGGTCATCAGAATGGGGCCCCACGATGGGACTGGTGGCCATATAAGAAGAGGAAGAGAGACCTGAGTGGACATACATGCTCTTGTCCTTTCTCCATGTGATGCCTCCTCCTTGTTATGGTGCAGTATGAAAGCCCGTGTCAGAAACAGCTGCTATGTCCGGGACTTCCCATCCTCCAGAACCATGAGCCCAATAAACATATTTTCTTTATAAACTACCCAGATTCGGGTATTGTTACAGTAACAGAAAATGAACTAAGACATCCAACAACACTGAAATGCTCATAGCTTCCCCACACTCACGAGGACGTTCCTTCTCTGTTCTTCTATACGTGCCCTTCCCTCTGCTATCCTGCACACCTGGCCTTCCCTCACCTGGCCACCTCCTGCCTTTCCTTCATGACTCACTCAGCACAGAGTGAGTTCCTCTGTGGACCTGCCTGGATCTTCAGTGTGATTATGATGCTTCTCTTCCAGGCTCCCATAATTGCAGAGGATTCCCTCTTGCATCCTTAAGTTCTGACAGTTCACTTAGAGTTACTATTTTACCACTTAATAAACATAGAAACCTTGCAGCTGAATAAGAACATTTACCACCCCTTCCATCCTTTATGTTGGTGTTGTCATATGTACATACATTATAGACCCTACAAGATGATATTTTACTTTTTGCTTTAAAAAGTCACACGTATTTTCAAGAAATTAAGAAAAAATAGTCTTTTCAGATATTTATAATTTCTGACGCTTTTCATTTGTTTCTGGAGGTTTGATCTACCATTTTGTATCATTTCTCTTTAACTGAGGAATTTGCTTTTTGTGTTTTTTTACAGTACATTTCAGGAGGTAATGAATTCTTTTAACTTGCCTTTATCTAGAAATGTCACTATTTTGCTTTCCTTCGTGAAGGACATTTTTTTCTGTACGTAGAATTTTGAATTAGCAGGATTTTCTCTCAGCCCTTTCAAAGATGTTCTTCCACTGTCTTCTGACCTCCATAGTTTCTGATATGAAGTTCTCTGTCATTGTTCCCTGTTTGTAATATGTTATCTTCTCTGGCTGCTTTTAAGATTTTCTCTTTATCTCCAGTTTTCAGGAGTTCTACTCTGGTTGGCCTAGGTGATATTGTTTATGTTTATTCTATTTGAGGTTCACAGAATTTCTCAGACATGTAAATTTATCTCTTTCACCAAATTTGGGAAGTTTTCAGCCATTATTTCTTTAAATACTTTTTCCTCGGTTCATTGTCTTTTCTCTCCTTCTGGGATTCCAATTCTCCAGTTACCTGTTACCTTAGATCTTTTGATGTTTCTCCACAGGTTCCTGCAACTCTGTTTATTTTTTAGTGTTTTTCTTCCATTTCTTTAGATTGGATAATTTATAAAAATCTATGTTAAGCTCACTCTTCCTCTGCCATCTGCATCTGCTATTGAGTATACTCATTCACTGTGTGAAATTTCAGATACTATGTATTTCAGTTCAAACTTTTTTCTTTTGCTTCTATTTTTGCATTTTCTATTTCTGTGCTGAGATTCCTATTATTTCATATTAATGTATTTTTCCTTATCTGGTAAAGCATGGCTATAATAGATGCTTTTAAGTTTTCATTTGTTAATTCTCATATCCGGATCATCTCAAGGATGGCCTCTGTTGGTTGTCTCTCCTTTTGAGAATGGGTTACCTTTTCCTTGCTCTTTCCATGTCAAGTAATTTTTTAATATATCCTGTAATTATGAGTGTTGTGTTGAAGAGACTATGAATTCTGTTACATTCCTTCAATGATTTAATTTTTTGCTTTAGCAATTAATCTGGTTATGCTTACAACTGCAAACCTTATTTTGTCTGTCATGAGAGGCAGCTAAGACCTCATTTCAGACTGCTTTTAGTCTGCTCCATGCATATATAGTTCAGGATCAGTCAGACACTGGGGCAGAGATTATACACAGAATTTGGAGTTTTCCTTCCTTGGCTTTCTCCTTTAACAATTTCCCCTCACTCTCCAGCAGTCATGGTTGTCCTGGGCTCTGTCCTCTGGTTTCCTCAGGCCAGAAAGATGGT